CCTCTGGTGGCTAGTGTGACGACACGTGTAGGGGATAGGTCCCCGCTCTTTAATGTGCCCTTACTCGCTCTTGCTATGACTTGATTGCTGTCCCCTTTCCCTATGACCGTCCCTCCATCTCCTTGGACACCAGGTCAATATCTTCCACTAACTGGGCTTTTCGCATAATTTGATCTAACCCATCAGGTTCCATGGCCAAAACTTCAGCCCTAATCACCGATTTCAGCCCGTTGAGGAAAACGCCTTCGAGGACTTCGTCGGAGAGTTGTGGTAACGGCGCTGCCATAGCCTTAAACCGTTCGATATAGTCTTCAACGGTGGTTTCCTGCTTTATCGCGAATAATTTTGGCACATTATCTTCCCCGTTTAGAGGGTAGAAAACGTTGGAATAGTCGCTTCTTCAAGTCGTTCCAATCCAGAAACCATCATCGATGGTCATTCCACCGATACCAAGCTAAAGTTGTTCCGTCAAAGCTTATCACAGACACTATTGGTTTTTCCGAATCAGTTAGTTTATGTATTTCGAAATACCACTCGGCACGGAATAGCAACGATTCAAGGTCTGGCCCAAGAAAATCGACATCTCAACTTTTTCGAACTTGCTACAGTCAGTTTCGGTCTCCGTAGTCTCCAGGATACGAGTTTCTTCATTGTCGCCTTCCTTTTTACCGATGATCTTTCTCCTCGACTGTATTCAATCATTGATGACTTTTCGACGGAGCCGTGCGCCATGAAGCGCTCAATCCTTTTGTGCCGTGCATCCATCTTGGCCATGTAAGTTTCAAGGATCTTCTGGTTAATCTGAACCTGCTCCTTCACTCTGGTGAGCATCTCCTTCAGATTAGTTACCTCTTGTTCCGTAGCGTCGCAACGTTCCTCCAGTTGCATTCGTACCATTCTTCGCCTTCTCCCCAGGATGACCGCTCTGATACCAAGTTCTGAGGTATCTTCCTCACTAAGCTTTTGATATTCGAAAGGAAACAATAGCCCTTAAGCTTTGCCGAAGATTTTTGGAATTCATTTATTTCTCTCAGGGTTGGGTTGCTTTGGTTTTGGCGCATTTCATGTAACAGGATTGTATGGTCCGGGAATATGGGTATCCGATCCTTATGGATTAACCGGAAGGGTACAAGCTGTAAATCYTGCGTGGGGTGTCGAAGGGTTTGATCCTTTTGTTCCGGGCGGAATAGCCTCTCATCATATTGCAGCAGGTACATTGGGCATATTAGCGGGCCTATTCCATCTTAGTGTTCGTCCACCCCAACGTCTATACAAAGGATTACGTATGGGAAATATTGAAACCGTCCTTTCGAGTAGTATCGCTGCTGTCTTTTTTGCAGCTTTTGTTGTTGCTGGAACTATGTGGTATGGTTCAGCAACTACCCCGATTGAATTATTTGGGCCCACTCGTTATCAATGGGATCAGGGATACTTCCAGCAAGAACGGTTGGGTCTCTCCCTACAGCTACTGCTGTGCTTATACAAAATACCCAAAAACTGCCTCCCTAATCCCGAGACTCTCCCTTTACATACATTCTATTCTTTCCGATCCGTACTCTTACTAACGGTTTGGGAAAATACCAAAACACCCCTCCCACTAACAAACTAACTCTCATATTCCCTTCTTGTCCTTTCTAACATAAGTATGAATAACCGGTGGCCTACAGGGCATTTCATGCTATGTGGTGGCTATCTTTTTCTTTGTGAAAGGGCTTTTGACAAAAAGAATGTGAAAACGATGGCATTAGATATGACTTTTGATTTGCCAAAATTAATATATTCATATCTCACTCAAATCATATTTTCTTTTCCTTTCTCTTTTAAATTCTTAAATGATGGAATGTTGTTACAAAATTGTGTCTAAAAAATAATGCTGATGTGGCAAATGAGTTGAGTGGTGGAGGTTGACGTGTTCGTCAGAGGAGAGGGTGGTGGCGACTTTGGTGGTGGACCTATGGCGGTCTGAAGAGGAAGAGAGAAAAGAGAGAAAGGGAGAAAGAAAAAAATATAATTTTTTTAATGTTTTAAATTGCCACATCGGTGATATAATAATAAAGTATATTCTTATTTTACACATCAGCACTATAAATTAATAAAAAAAACAGATATATACAATTAGCCAACTTCGTTGGACTACCAAAAAAAAAATAATGTAAGGGACCAAAAGTGATATATTTCCTAAAACTTAGAGATTAAAAGGATAATTTTTCCAATAAAATTATAATTTTTTTTATAAGTACAAATAAGAGAGACAGAATAAAATAGAAACAAATTAATAAAAGTTCTTCGTCTTAGAAAGAATATCAGTTCAAAAAGTCCAAGGAGGGTTCTTCTCTAGTTAAATTTCTGAGCGGTGATTTCTCCTTGCACGTACTATTAAGATGTTCTCGACTTAATTATAGCTTTCATGGTTTGTGTAATGTTAAAATATATTCGTTGATCATTTAGTGACGTGCAAAATAGAAAATTGATGAGAGGTTCTAAATAGAATCTATGTGGTGTTTGTCGTACTAAAACAAAAGTAGTGTTTGTCAAAATGTTTGAGGATGAAGTTAGGAAAATGATGAAAAATAATATAGAGAGAAATAATTTTAATATATTTATTTATTGTACGAAGAAAATGTACTTCAAGTGACCATAAAAGTTGATATTTACAAAAGAAGAGCTTGATTGCTCTAAAAACTAGATTAGATATCTCTTATCAAATGAAGTCGTTGTCTAAAAAGAATTATAATAAACAATTCTTTAAAAATAAAAATTTAAGAATTAGAGATAAATACCATAAGCAGCTTATGATCTCTTATTAAATGGAGTGGTTGTCTAAAGAAGAATTACAAAAGTGATCAAACTCTTATGAAAAGAAGTTAGAGATAAGTGTTACATAGGCTAAAATTAAACTAAATTTTGTAGCAATAGAGGTCATATCCAAAACTTGCGGGTTAGAAAGTGAATTAGGCAATAGTTACAGAATTAACGACCATTGAAGAATTATATACACATTATAATGGCCTACACACAATATAATGAAGCCAGTCACTAAGAATTCAGAGCAGTGGTACAACAATTTCACCATATAAAGGTTGGGGCCTGAATGAAACCAGTCTAAACCATCATATTCAACTCGGAGAGATCATCCATTGGAATTTCGAGACCTATGGCATCATGGTCTTGCAACCCATCTTCGTCGATGTCCAACCAAGAACCGAGATCTTGATGCTCGCCGAGGTCTTTTGATACATCTAGTTCTTCCATGCCATCCAAATCATGCAATTGCAAGTTACTCAAACCACTCGACTCCTCTGCCTCTTTAGATGACCCCAGCACAAAGTTGCCCTGGTTGATTTCTCTTGTTCTGTTGCCAAAATTTGGGCCCGTTTTACGAGATTCGGAGGCCAAAGATTCCGGCACTTCTGAAGTCGACAAAGAACTAGTCTTCTGCCTGGGCTTTGCCCTCGATCGCCGGACACCTTGGCAGCCATCCAACGATGAACCGAAGAAGCTGGCAAGGGGATGGTTTTTGTTAGGGTCCCTTTCTCTCTCGCTTCTCTTTCCTTTGATGCCTGGGGTGAGCCCAGATGTGACCCTGGAGGAAGCACTTCCAGCAACTTCATCTATGCGCATTTCCCTCTTCTTCTGCTTAATCACCATGGATCCACGCATACAGTCTTGCTCTGAAGAATTGATGGCTTGAGCATTTGAAGAACCTTTATCCAAAGTATCACTCTGTGAGTCATATCTCTCAGATGGGCCACAAACAGCACCTGTAATGACGAATAAGTTCGATATGACTTCTAGAAGGATGAAAAGTACTTTTCTCGAAGTTCCATGCTATTTGGTTACATAGTCAAAACTGATTTAGAAGTTTATTAGAGCCCTTTTGGAGGCTTTTAGAGGAATAATTAATTAATGCTTCTTTCCGAGAGTGCTTGTAAAGTATTTTACCCAGAAGCACTACTCTCAAAAGTTATGCCCAATGCACTCTTAATGAGACGTGCTCTGAAGAACAAAGACATCCCGAAATAGGATAGATAAATGTAGCATGATTACACCAAATATAGTTAAGGATGAAAGTAACATTGACGTACCCAATACCCTGTCGTCCATCTGATGAGAAGACTCATAAAACATATTAGTAGCAGTTGTAGAGCCACCGAAGTTGATGGTTTTTGCATCTCGGTTGTGCGGAGGTGTCGAGAAAATGATATCCTGCAATGCAGGCTCACTGAAACAACTAATGCCACTATCTTCAAACTTGTGACATCTAGTGAGAGTACGCTTGATTAAGGACCTGGCTGCTGATTTTGTGACCCTGCGAACTGTACTTTTCGAAGCATTACTGCCACGATAACCCTGTCAATACATAATTTATGAGAACGCAAAACATAGAATATGACCCTGTTAGAACCCGAAATATATTGAAAGATAAAAGATAAACTAACTACAATAGCTACTAAGTATTAGAGGTACTTGGACCCTCCACTCAAGCCCAAACATACTCACTCAATTGGATACCTTCATTCTTACACCCTCACTCTATTTATAATACCCTCTCTAACAACTTTCTATATCTAATTACTAAGGTACCCTCAATACCCTAATAATATCCCTTTATTACCCTACGGCCCAATCCTATCAGACCCCATTTTCTTTTCCCAAACAAATTATCTGATCTGCCAACTGATCCTATGAATTGAAAATAATAATGCACGTTATACAGCATCCCTGCAACTAAAGAATGACTAAATGTCCCTTAACTTGTATGCAAAACTTGATACTTTGTACAACTTTGGTAATATTATAGCAAATTACGATAGACGAACACATACTCAAACTTTAAGCAAATATATTTTAATATAAAAATAAAATTAACTGAAAACATCACATGAAATATTGACTCAATTTTTTTAGTAACAACAGAAAATGAACAAGCATTTTACCATTCTCCTATTGTAAGCCATCTCAACAAGTTGGTCCATCGCAACTTCCTCGATTTTCCTGCATGAAAACATCATAACCACCTCATAAAGAAAAGATCTAAAATAAAAGATCAACAAACAATCGGGCTGAAAATTTTACAACAATTTGGTTGACTACAACGATATAATTTTTTTAACACCACAAAATTATACACCACCATAGCAAGCACACAAACCTTTGGAGTAATGGGTTCAATCTTTAATGGTAATCTACCTAGGATATTTATATCTTCGCCAAATATTGAATATTGCAAGGTCAAGCACAAATCTCGTAGGATTAGCCAAAGATATACGTAAACCAACTCGAACACTCATAATCATCGGAGAAAATGAACTCATACTATGACACAGTACAACCTATAGAACAGATCTTGTTCAGGTAAGGTTGTAAAAATGAACTCATAATGTCTATATATATACTATAGGAAAAGGTGTGTGATGGTGAAGTAACTTAATGGAAACTTATATCATCACATTTTCATTAAATATCAAAACTAACATTTGTATCACTATATCAAAATTAAATATTAAATATTGGTTCTAATATTTAGATATATATGATAAATTGTACTAAATATTAATTTAAAAAAAAAATGCACACTCAGAGCTGAGTATCAAAATTTAGTAAGAAAATTATTAGAATTTACTTAATTCTAGAATCTACATCATTTCAGTAAATCTCTAAACTAAGATTAGTATGTACGTGTATCACGTGCACTAAAAACCTAGTAACAAAAATAATATGTTAGTTATGTTTATATTTGAACAAAAAACTGAAATGAGAGGTCCTAACAAAGCATGTAAGAAGCTCAAATAAGGGTCCTTTTAACTTCTGCTGCATGAATCTTACCGTTTTTCCGCATCTTTTCCTCTCTGCATGGATTTTTCCACTTTTTCCAGGTTGCTCTTTTTTCTCCCAACCTATTAAATGATGAAACATTAAAGAAAAGAAGCAAGATATTCATATAAATAGAGATATCAAGTTTTTTGGACTTGTAACCAAGAAGTTTTATGAAGGTGTAGTTATTTATTTAATAGCTCTGTAAACCAATAAGATGCAAGAATATCCAGAAAAGAAAATATATGACAACAATTTTATTTAGAAAAAGAGAATAAAAGAACAATGTATATTTTTTTTTCAGATGAGAAACCTCAGTTCAATGTATTTAAGTGCAACCTGTTGGAACAAACTTCTCTTGTGCTCCATAATTTCTTGGTTGATGAGATCTTCTCCCTCGGCCAGATCAGGCTACAGTAGAAACAAGGAAAATGTAAGGGGAAAGAGGACACAACTGCGAGAAATGTATTGAATAAAAGCTCATCCTACAAGTTCTAAGCGTGGAACTTCAGTAAAAAAAGAAAAAAAAAACCCACCAAGGTGTCTGGATATAACCCTATACTCTGTAGTTCCAATAGAAGTTTGTCATCCAGTCGCATCGTCTGATACTGACAATTGGAAGAAATATTGGGTGCGTTAACATCCCCAGATTGCAGCTGGAAAGAATCATTTGAACATATTTCACTGGCATTCCCTACATCACAATGTGATAAGTCATCATCTCCTTGCCACTGTTCGCCACCATGAATGAAGCTAGACATGCTTGGATTCCTATACGAGTTGGACACGGCACTTTTATCACAAGAGAATCTGTCAAACATATTATTCTTCGGGATTTGAAAATCTATTGTCGACTCAGCCTCTGATTCCACTCTATCTCTATCTCTGTGTTCATAATCATTAAGGTTACAAGAACCACAGTGAGAATCATCACTTGCTGATTGCAGAAACATGTGCTTCCCTTCACTTTGGTGGTAATATTCATCACAATCCCGCTCTTCTATCAAAGCAGAAAGAACTCGATGATACAGGGGAACAGCCTTGTCTAGTCTTCCCATGTCAAATCCACTTTTCGTAGCAGACCTAACAAATTCCTTACTCGACCCTCGTATTTCTCCTAAACAATTGGTGTCTATTACATGTACACCAAGACCCTGAGAAATTCAGCATGGAATTAGTTGGGAAGTTGATCTTTTCTTTCTGATATATTGTGTGTCCAATCAACTCAAAAACTATAAGGCCAATATTAGTGGAATGGTCAAGCATCAAAATTGTTTAAAACAATAAGCATAAACAGAAAACTAGATGAAAATAAAGCTACAATACCAGGTTCTCGTGTTCAGTGTCCTGCATCTGAGACAACCTCTCACCAAGCTCCTCAGCAAAACTTAGCTGATTCGGTAAAACACCCAGGGGCATAAATCTATTAGTGTTCAACCAAAGTAACTAAGAAATTACAAATACTTCAGCACATAACATAGTTTACCTGTTGCTTCAAGTTTGCTGCATCTTCTGGATTAACAGAAACAAAGATGGAATTTACTTTATGCCAAAATGGACCAGTACAAGCATGAGCTACAAACACAAAAATCCAATATTATTGTCAACAGAGAGAATGTAGAAAGAAGAGAGCCACATTCATGGAGAGGAAAGAAAATTATTATAAATATAATTTAAGTATCAAGAGGCATACTGTTGGCATTACGAGCAGAGTTGGCTGCCTCAAACAATTCTTCTTGATCGTCGTCAGATTCACCTGGAAAACAATGTTAATATCTACCAGTGAGCCACCGTCATATAACTACATACTACACGTTACAGCCTACAGGCCTCCCTCCCCCATCAGCATTTTAATAATAACCGCAGTAAAAGCAATCAAGACAGACCAGACAAAAAAGCCTGAACAGACAATTTTCAAGGGAACTCAAGAAACATAAAATCCGAGGGTAGAGGACACTCCTGCCCCAAAGAGCTATTACATGAAAGCCTCTTTGAAGAAAAGAGTTTGCTTCAAGCATGGTTAGCAATCATTAATGTAAGCATCACCTGAATGCCTAAAACATGACAGAATCACAATCTTGTTTCGGCATTAATAAGTTCATGGTTTGACATAGACAGACAGCAGTCATCGAACCTACCCAAAGAGTACTATAATTTTAGTAGCAACTTCTAATTCATGGGTTGAGAAAATTGTGGATCACATGTAAGAAAGATTAAGTCCAGAAACTGATAAGGTCACCTGTGATATCTGAGGAGCGGCAAGTTAACCCAACCTGAGCTGAACCCTTGCGATCTTTTAGTTTTTTTGATGGTGGACGACCTGATTTACTAATTTGAAAAATACAAAGTAAAATGAGATCGTGACACAAGTACAACCGTAATGCTTGAGGAACTAAAATAATATGAGTTTAAATACCTTCTCATTTTCCCAGAGCCAGGCTTCATGTTGTGGAGTGGTTTTTCTACAAATAGGCTCTCTGACTTATCTCTCACCAAAGGGCTATCAGGCTTAACTTGTGAAGTACCCCTTCCACTCCTTCCCTGTCTTCGCACAGCATCTCCCTTTTCATTCGCCAGTGCCCTATTCTTCCTCACCGGCAATATAGAAGACCCAGCTTCATCTACTGCACTTAAAGAAAACTTGCCACCACTTGTATTTTTCCTTTTGACTTTGTCATCTCCAGGTCCTGATTCTTCACTTTCAGACATCCCACTTGGAGAAGAAACGTTATCAACTTCCCTTTTAAATTTTTTGGTATTGTTGTCAACACTACTAGCTGATACTGATCCATTTGTTGCAATTGCTCGTGGACCAAAATCAGAAGCTGCAAAGTCTTGAGATGGACTTGGAGTTTCACCAAGATCTGGCACAGGAGGCAGTAACTTTGATCTCCTAGTGCGTGAGTTTTTATGTCTCTGGCCAACCCATTGGGTAACAGTACACAAAGATGAACCAGTTGGCATTGCATGCTTTGAATTACTTGAAAGTCCAGCCAATTGGGCTTTGCTAAGACTTGAAGATTCCCAGGCCTGATGAGCTTCGGATGAAGAGTCAATATTTGGGGATGAGTCTAGCCCCATAACTGATCCAGTTCTTGGTCCCCTAGAAACCTTTGCTTTAATCACTGTACTTGGACTACCTACTGAGTTGTCTTCCCGGTTACTTGGCCTGACAATTGAATGCATGTTAAAATTAAAAACTATACCACACCCCCAAAAAAAAACCTTTAATTTATTATTAGAAATGTAGTTTGAGATCTAGTCCATGAAATAATTCAAACAAGGAATACACAGTCAGTTGTAAACGGGTTTACAACTCCAAAATGCACTTAGTTGAAACATCTACATTTTGCTATTCTATATAGCTCTTCAGCAAACTTCGTAATAGATTTTTATAAATTTTTTTAGCAAACAATTGAATGGTTATTGAGTAACTGATTCTTCTTTCAAAATTCAACCGATTTAAAGTTTAATACATGAAAAAAAAAAATCTATTTTCAATTTAAAATATTTAATGTTATCAAGGTTTTTTTTTCCACAAGAGAGTGAAAAAAAGTGGTGGAAAGAAAATTGAATATGAAAAGTTAGAGAAGTCTATGAAGTTTTTAAATCCTTTTGTTCTTCATAAATGTATCTAAAACAAATTTAATGCTTTTCAACTTCAGCGTCATTAGACTCTATTCACTGTATACATGATTTCCATATAAGATACCAAAGGCAATCAATGTTCTAAGTCATTCAAATGCAAGATTCCATAGTCTTGAGTAGCATAAATTTCTCTCGACGAGTAACTAAACCAGAAAATTAATAAGAAACACACCTAACACAGCATTAAGATAATTAAAATATCATAACAGATCTACATACCTACTGTTCCCTTTTAGCATCCTCTGCTCCAATATATATGTGCGACCCTTCAAAGGAAGAGCACTTTCAAGTTCATTCTTTGATATGGTACTCGCATCTGAACTAGTAGGCTCGGAAGAACCATCCAACCTGTTCATTCCATTGACTCCAGATGAAGATTTCAATCTACAAAAATGAATTTGCCAAACAAAATATTATTATCAAAGAGACATTACACTTTTGGGAGGTTGTTCAGTATACTGCCTCCTCTTGGACTAAACTTCATAAGATTTTTTTTTTTTTTTTTGGGATCTTATAAGATCCATTAATTTGGATTCAGGTTCTTGAATAGATTCTCCCCTTTGATTTTCGGGAGGAGATGCCGTATCACTTAGTTCATATGAAACTACGAAATGCTAAGTGTATCTTATAAAATATAATTATCATTTCCCATTTCCACTCCTCTTATTGCTCTCTTTGCTTTTCTAATCCTTTCAATAACACTCTTTTTCTGCATGCAATTATGATCATATTCCAAATTAGATTGGGCCCTTGACGTACTGATTACGGTATCCAACAACATAATCTCGATACAGAGATAATAGGCAGAATTTTTTATTTTTTATTTTTATTTTTTGATAGGAAACTGCACTTTTCATTAAAATAAATGAAAAAGAGAACAAAAACACAGGCATACAAAAACAAAAGCCCGTTATAGAAATTCTCCTGCAATTATGGCTATCAGCTCGATAAACCACCCTATCCAAAATGATGTGCATAAACCCAATTCTTTAATAAAATAAATTTTAATTTCAATTTAAAAAATAATGAAAAACCTCAACTTTTTATGATCAAAAATTCATTGAAGGTAGTTGGTGCAGGACATTATGAGAACAGAAAGAAAAACAAATTAATAAAAAAATTCAGACTAAAATTATTGGATTTCGCCAGATTTCATAGAATTTTAAAGTGAATTACTAATTTAAACCTTGTTAGATTTTAATTTTACATTAAGAAATCAGAATTGAAAGGCTATATTAATAAACTTTAATTTCTTTTATTTTTTAGTGAACATCCAAACAAAAAATATGTAATTACACTCATTTCAAATCTTTTTCAAGAAAAATAATTTAAAATCATTTCCAGTGTTTCAAATCATAAAGTTTGAAAATTTTCTTGAACTTTTTAAATTCTAAATGGAGAGTTGGTGCCAAAAGATGCACGAGTACACTGCCCTTTTTGCTACTTCCCTTCTTTTTTTGTTTTTTTCCCTTGATCGGTTCTTTTTGACAAATAAGAAAAGGGAAAGATACTTGATGAGGATCGGTGTCAGAAATCTTAAATCAAGCATGAATAGAATGAGTGATACCTATACCCTTGGGCATCACAAGATCGCAACTTAGAGTCAGAACTCAGCTTGGTATGAGTAGCTCGTTTAATTTCACGATCACCATTATTAATTCTATAACCAACAGCTCCGACAGAACGCTTCTTTTTAATTTTCTGATCCAATCCCTCTCCTCCAGCAAGCAACTTGCGAGTCTTTTCTTCACTTCGAAGAGAACCATCATTCACAAGCTGGTGTACATCACCATCCTTCTCTAAGAACGTTGGATTATTTGAAACTGTGGTGAACCTGGTTTCTGCCTGATAGAATTGGAAGATGAGAAACAACACACTTAAATCAATGAAAGCAAAGTAACTGTATTTCTCATTTCATAGAACATTACTTGAGACTTAAGTAGAAAATCCCAATTATGAGCAAATTCCAGCAACATATCTTCAAGTGACATTTCATTGTTACTTTTAATTAATAGTTTAGGAACCCAAAAGAAATCCCAAGGAAATTAGACACTAGATATTATCACGCGTTACAAACCTATATGGATGAACAAGCACGCTTGTTTGACCCATAGTGTTCTAAAAAAATCTATTGATATCAAAAGTAAGCCCAAATCCTGACATTGAATACCAATACCCTAAATGAAGAACAAGTAAATTAGATACTAGATATTATCACATGTTACAAACCTGAACATCAGATATGGATGAACGAGCACGCTTGTTCAACCCTACACTCTTTGCTCTATCTTCCAATCTATGAATTATAACATCATGGCCATTTCTTTGAATCTGGCTTCCCATTTTAGATAAGTTCCCACCACCTATCCTCTCACTTGGTGAAATTTCACTACGTTGTCGTTTTTTTGAGTTCAAGGCTTCCCTATATTTATCCAACTTGAACAAGGATTCACTCAGCATGTCTGCTCTTTCCCTGGAAAATAAAATTTACATAAATAAATAAATATAAAGAACAAATGAAAACCAATACAAACAAATTAATATCGGACAATAGAATCATCAAAATTGTATGTCAATTTTATTGTCTCCTTATCTTTACAAACTCTCCTATTCATTCTTAATTTCCAAACAGAGAAAGCAAAATCTAGACCATCTCTTTATCTACTGTTTTTCTCCAATCCATCATGATGCTAGTCAAGACTTCCACATTGCATTAAGGATCTTGTTATACTCTAATTGGGCGCCACTCTTTCAAATATAAAGCTAAGATCATGCATAAAAATGAGGTCACTCCTTAGGTGATTAGGTTAAGAGAAATAACAAAACTAAAGGGGTGGATAAAAATATGTTTCAGCTTCAACTTAACCTTTGTTTCATTGCCTCCTCTTAGACTACTTTAGATAAGAACTTCGCTAAATCATCTCCCTCTTTCAAGAGAGAGAGAGAGAGAGAGAGAGAATCTACCTGGCTCTTCTAGATGAATCTTGCACACTATCTTTAAAATGCTTCAGCTCCTTAGATGTCACTGGAGGCGGACGCTTCAGATGGGCTACTCCAAAAGAACGGTCCTCCAATGTACTTCCAGAAGAAACACCAAGAGCTCTTTTCAGCTCCCCTGAGCACAAATTTTTTTGATTACCTAATGCAATGGGCTCCAGCGGTAAACACTGGGGCAAGGACGGCATATTTGATGGTGGGAATGCACTTCCTCGATTTAAATTATTCCCAGAACCTAACATCATACACTTGCAATGGTCTTTCAAGACGATCCAAATTGGCTCATGCCCCTTAAATAAAAATCAACTCTTGAGCATCAACTTCCTGCCATTAGACAATCATAAGGAAAGAAACACATCAAAATTTTAGTTTTACATATAAAAATATATATATGTATATATGTATATATATTAGTTTAAAACTAAAAAAAGCCCTTCATTATCCACCTGAGAGTAAGATTGTGAAAGCAACATCACAAAACAAGATACGACTGTAAATCCAAAAACACAAAAGTCACGGTCAAACGGAGAGACTCAAGACTCTTCGTTGTTTATTTAATTTTAGTCATGATTAAGATGATCGAATATGTTTGTATTTGTGAAAATCAATTAAAAAAACCACTTCCAAAGTATTGCTTTCCACAATAAAGAGAGTTATTACAGTAACCCGTAAAAAAACCACCAAACCAGCCATCATATACGGACATAAAAATAAACCCGACAGAAACTTTTCAGTGAAATACCGAAAAGATAGCTAAAAGTGTTAAATTAAGCCAAAAAAAAAAACTTGTCTAATCCCCTTCTTCTTCCTCGAAGATTCTTCCACTCAACCCCAACAATAATTCATTTCCAATTCAATCATCACAGATGCAACCACACAAATAAATCATACAAAACAAAACTTGCAGGGCAAATAAGTAAGAAGTCGGGAAACCCACGTACAGCTCTACAGCTGGCGCAGAAATGTGGTGGAAGAAATCACAAAAAATAATGAAAGATTTGAGAGCAAACAATCACGAATTGAGCAGCCTAAGACATCGGGAGATGCGGAGGTGAATGAGCGGCAAAACCCTAGAAATACCGAAATGGAAAGAGAAGGGAAGAGAGTGAAGATGGGGCAAAGAATTGGAAGAAGCGAAGGCGAGTTGAGAGAGTTACCTGAAGGAATTTGTAAGAGGTCAAATCAAATGGTCAATTGTGATCCACTTTTCTCCGATCAATCTCGCGATGATCAAACCGAAATGCACGAAGAACAGAGAGAGAGTTGCAGTAGTAGGAGAGGAGGAGGCAGAAGCTCCAAACGCCGTCGTTTTGTCTGTGTTTTCCCACGCGTACGCGCCAATTGCCTTTTTTTTTTCTTTTTTGTGTTTGATTATTTTATTTATTTATTAAACTATTAAAATATTTGTTTTAATAAAAAAAATTATTATTTTGTTTAAAAAATTGATATGTATATTTACGCGAATATTCATTTTAAGTTGTATAAATATAAGTAGGCTGAGATAAATATTGGGAAGCATATATTAGATAGCAAAATAATATAATGATGAAAATAGAATAGTTACTGCGAAAGTTTGTGGTGAGTTTTATAACTATTTTGTTTATATATTTTTTTTTTGTTTAATTAAGCTTATAAAATTATTTTCACCTATACGGCTATATTTTCTTTTTATCAAAATAAAATAATTGGGAAGCAGTGAACCTAATTTTTAAAACACAAATTTAAAAACAAAACCATTGTCAGGGATTTTATTGACTAAAATATATAATTTGAAAGTTTGAAAACTAAAAAAATTATCGAGACAAAGATAAACCTTTGAAAAGTTTGTGGATCAAAATGAGATTTAAACAATTTTTCTAAAAGAACATGACATCACCGTGATGGAGTCTTAAAAGAAGGTAAATACGTTTTTTTTTAGAATATTAATATTTAGGTTGACAACTTTAATATTATTGGGTGATATAATTGTTTAATATGAATATTTATTATTGGATAATTTCATATGGTTTATAATCTATAATTAAAATGAAAGACTATCAAATTGTTCGACAACATGTTGAGATAGAAATTCGAACTCCAAACATTTTAATTGATAATAGAATGCATTAATCATTGAATGTAATTAAAACAAAGGATATTGGATATTTACTTCTTTTAACATTTTTGTCATAATCTTTGAATCAAACCATAAATTTGAAGAATTTCCACTCGATTTGTAAAATTGAATAATCATCCGTTAGTTCAGTTTGAATAAGTTTTATTTATTTTGTTTGGTTTCATCGTAATTCTTAGTTTTATAAATTTTTGTTGGACAATCAATTCAATTTTAAAATTAAAAGAAAAGTTGACTAAAAAATAAATCTGTGTTTTAGTCTATCATATTTAATTAATATATGGAGCCCCATTATTATACGAACATCTAGATTTCCAAACTTATTTTACATGTTTTAGATGACCTTATGAAACGGATTCTCAAGATTCTAGATTCTCATGTTGACAACATTCTTGGTTCTATCTTTTTATATTTTTGCCCTTTATTCTTTGTATATTTTCTATCATCATTTTTTTTTAATTTTATAATTTAAATAAATTAATTTATTCATGTACTAGAGTAAAAAACTTTACCCAATTAAATATATTTATACATTAAATACCCTTCAATAAAATTATATAATATATTTATTTATTTTTAATATTTGGAATGAGTTATTATTAATAATATTTATTATCTTAAATATATAATTTTAAAACAATTTTTTTTCAACGCAGCATATATTTGATCTTTTTCTTCTTAAAAAATCTAATTTGATATTATGATAAATAAATTTCATTGATTATATATTTTTTTTTGAAAAAAATATAAAGTTTAATGAAATTTGTATTTAATATTAATTATTAAAAAAAACTTATATTAATGTGAATTAATTTGTTCTCCAAAATAACATAAAAAACCAAATTAATATAAAAATATAATATTAAATTAATAAAAACAAATCTATTATACAAATATAAATTATATTAAATTAATGTATAAATTATATAAATATTCCTAAGATATTTTTAGAACATTATATAAATTTAAAATATTCCCAAGAACACACCTGCAAAAACGACTTGGCCGTAGGAGAGAGATTTTTTTTATATTTTATTTTATTATAAATTTGGTAAAGTTTTCTCTTTTTGTTTTCAATTTTTGAGAAATATAAGTATTTAGTATCACTGTTACTCATTTCTAATTTTTAAGAAATGTTTCCAAAATTATGTAAATAAAAAAATCAAATTACTGTTTCGTGTTCGTCTTTCTAACTTTTTCAAATAATACATCAAATCATTAGTTTATAATTCTTGACTTATATAATGCATAATAAATATTAAAAAAATAAATATACGATTAAAAATGTAAATATTTAATTAAAAAATAATTTCATATAAAAAATTTATTTTTTTAATTTAAAATTTTAGAGAACGAGAAACAATAAAAAACTACCAAACATATTTAAATTTCTATTTTCAATAAAAAAAAGAAAAAAAACAATTACCAAATATAGTTCAGTTTCTACCTATAGGATTTTTTGGGAGAGAACAGAGCTCTCTAATTCTCCCTTTACCTCTTGTAATGACTTCTGAATATCATTAATAGAAAGAGATTTATATCACTCTACAACCATTGATAAACTAATACTAGAATTATCAACTAAGCAACTCTGAAGACCCATTCTCAAGACAAAAATTTAAGTTCAATCTATTGAAAATATAAGCCATTTCTAGCTGAACATGCATACTTATATCACCTTAACAAAGCTTTTCTAAGGAGAGTCAAGATCATACACAATCAGCAGCCCACAATGAATTGTTATTCAGCATACAGCCATCTCCACGAGGACTGGTTCCTCGCCGCAACTGTATCGAAGTTTATCATCGACATTATACAGCTTATATACACTACACAACAGAACATGATAGTAGATGAACTTATCTGGCCAGAAGTGCCCTTATTATGGCTCCAAAGACTTCAGCATCATGAATTATCAGATGTCCAGCGTTAGGAACCTCATGATACTGAATCCATGGAAGTTTCTCTGCTATAAAACGGTTAAATTCAATAGGAATAACACGGTCTTCGCAACCTTGCCACATATGAACAGAGCCCTTGTTGTCAGGAAATGGATTGCTCAAGTTAATGACGGGATCAAACTCCCATTTTCCTCTATAAGCAGCAAGGATGTCTCGGTTAAGCGATTCATGTTCACCTTGCTGTGTTATTTTTTCCTGAATTTGGTTGCAAAAGAAACATAATGAGAAATGTTACTCCCTTAGCTTATGAAATATGTCAAACATGTTAATTTGAAATATAATTCTGTCAACATGCTGCATCAAATTAAAGAGGTGAATTATGAGAAATATAGTAAAAGTTGATCATACAAGCAAGAAATCCCTCCCACTAATTATTTTTTCTTTATTTGAAATTTTAGTTTTTGGGACTTATATTGCATTTTGATGTGTCTCACAATTTCGTCAAAAGACTCAAAAGGAAAGAGATTAAATTTAAGGCATTATGTTTCCACAACTGATACTATAATGCATTCCACACTACCAATTTAAGTAAAAATTAAACTAAAGTACACCAGTTTATTGAATCATTCATAATAGTCAGACTTTTAGAATAGTGAAAAATGTTTTTGTCAGACTTTTAGAATAGTGAAAAATGTTTTTATCTAATTTCGAGGCTTTTTGAATTTATTATGACAATTATCTGCATGGTTAAAAGTACTTTCGAAAATTTAAAAACACTTTTAAGAATAAGTGTGGGATGACTTTAGTGTGTAGTGCTTTGAAGTTTAACCAAAAGGTATCCGATGACAAGAACCTAACAAGATAACTATATTGCAATTCAAAAGATCAACTACAATATCGATAACTACAATATCGATAACCTTTCGAGAGGGCTATCTCTCTCCCAAAGAACTCTCCCAAGTTCCTTACACAAAGCTATTCTCCAAGCTATCTCCCCTCTCTCCCTAATACTTCTATTTATAACAAACTCACCCTAATCTAATTACCATAACACCCTTAACTACAATACTAATACTATTCCCAAACTACAAACTACCTCTATTAGGTCTCTCACAACATTTTGGAAGAATCATAATTAAGTCTTTCCAATAAATGCACTTTAAAATATTTTTTGAGAATTTTTAGAATGACTAAATTATTCAAAATATCTTTTAACTTTGATGTACATTTCAATTAGACCCCGATCGTTTAAAAATTTTCACTTCTACCCTTGACCTTCATTTGAACAATTTTACCATTAAAACAACTGACTGAAATTGTTGTGGTCGCTGAATTGTAAATAGAACAGTAGTAAAGATGGTTTTTAAAATGAACGATAAATGTGACAAGGACTACAATCACTTTTCAGGCCATGTTTACCATTCAATTCTTTTAGGCCCGTTCATTTTTAAAAGTCGTGTCTACCTCTATTCCGTTTACAACTCAACATCCACGTCAATTTTCACCAATCTTTTTGACAACAAAATTGTTCCGAGGTATATTTGAATCAATTTTAAAGGTCAATAGTTGAAATCAAACTTTTAAAAACAATTGGGACATAATTGAAACTAAAGGACATTTTGAACAATTTAGCATTTTAAGAATTTTCAAATCACTTCCAAAACCAAACACCATAAAAATTTAGAAAATTATTTTTAATTGGCTAAAACCACTTCTCACTATTTCACTATTGCTAATAGAAAATGTAATAGGAAAATTTCCCAAAATCCCTATAGAAAAACTGCTGCACTTAAAAACATCTCTCTCAAAATCATCCCAATTTGCCTCCAATACTAAGTCAAGTGTGCATCCATTGAGCATGTAGAATGATAATGCTATGCATTCATTGATTTACTGCAAGTAAGATAAGTACCTGGCCATGATTTAGGCAGCCTGATAACCTATTTATCAACTCCAAATCTGAATCACAGAACATGCCATCACCCACCAATGTTGGGAACCATTTTTGTGTCATCCACCAGTAGTATAACCAAGGTGTGTGATGTGCAATCTGAAATGTCCGTTGGTAAGATTGAGGAAGCTTCCCAAATGTCTGCAGTGATAAAGCTGGAGGAACGGAAGGCCACCAGTAATTCACAAAGGGAACCACTAGAGAAGCTCCTAGGAGTCTGTAAATAAAGCTCCATTAAGAGTTAATGGAAGTGTATAAACACATGAAAAAAGTGAGAGGAAAAAGAATTGATCATAGTGAAATGAAGGTAAAAATGCCTGTGTGGAATGTAGTTTAGACAGCTCCAAATAGCGTATGCCCCCATGGAACATCCAATTACATAAAATTTTGTGCCAAGGTGCAATTTGTCTGCTAATTCTTGAATGTCAAGTGCTTCACTCTTCACTGAACGTGATGGATATGGGTCACTCTCTCCATAACCAGCTCTGTCATATAATACTATGTATAGCTTAAGCTCTTCTATAAGTTCCTGAAGATAAAAGTGAACATGATTGAACACGTTTAGTAAAGTAAGACAGAAGCAAAGGGGCTTTTACTTCTATTGATCAGAGAAAGGATATGATTTAAGGCTGGGTTTAAATTACAAGAGTCAAAGATATATCTTAATTGTAAGATAACAGAAGACTAGATTATCATTTTTGACTAAGCGAAGAATAATGATCTCATACTTGAGAGGCAGGTAAGTACATATCTTTGGAGCTATTGTAGCCATGACACATAATAATTTTGTATTGAGCCTCTTCCTTAGGTACTCCAAATTCTCTGTAGGCCAAATGCCTCCCATCATTGAGCTTTACTCTAGGTGAAGTCACTGGAGGGCCATTTGCCGATCCACAGATCTTTGGAGGTGAAGGTTTCAGTGCTTGATAAACCCATCCAAGAAGACCAACTGCAAATGCTACTCCTATTGGTGTAATCATGGCCTGGAAAGACTAGAAGTTCATTACTATTTATTTAATGATATGTCGGTTATGACAAACAGTTTATGACTAACCATGTAAGTCATTAATCTACCGCAAATATTTCAACACAACGCAATTTGGAAAAACTACCACAAGAACTAATTAAACATTCTCTATTAAAATCTGTATTAGATTTTTCTCGCACACCATCTTTCACAATCCTATCTAAGAGGAGAAAGAGATAGAATTTTTCTTGAACATAATGATCTGACTATAAAGTGCTGCTAAATATTATATAGTGAATCCAAGTGGTGGAAGTTAGCTACTAATAAATAGATTAATGATGAACCATCGTGGTTTGGTCCAATGATCAATAAGGGTCAATGTAAATAGTATAGGGTTTAGAGGTAATAGATTCAAACCATGGTATACTTAGGATATAATATTCTAGGAGTTTTCTCAGCAACCAAATATAATAGGGTCAACCAGTTATGAATAGTTAAGGTGTTGGCAAGCTGGTCTGAACACTCACAGATATAAAAGAAATTATAATAATAAAAAAGAAAAGAAAAAAAAAGACAGATAATAATCGTCAGGGCTTAGTCTGATTTGCTTGACTCGGATGACAATAGGTTGAAAGCTTAAATTGAATAGAAAGTCCAGAATACAAGATAAGATCATCAGGAAGGTTTTGAAACTGCATAATACCTCCAATGACCACGATTAAAAGCTACTTTATTACTTTATTAGAGAGAGGAATCCTCCTAAAAAGATGGTAATTATAACCATCTTCAAACTGATCGAAGCCTATTTCTTTAATATTGACATAAACTGAACCTCCAAACCACTTATCCATGAACTTAAACTTTTAGGTGAAAACTAATTATTGATCTAGCCTAAGTTCTAACATTATGATCTTTAATGCTCAGTAAGCCTAATAAATAGACTAATTATTGCAACACAGACAACACGAAGATATAAGAAATGAACTCAGATGCCGAATTAAATTAGTAAAGTTTGGCACAACTACAGAGTAGCAGAAAGGGGAGAAAAATTCCTTACCCAGATTTTGAGTCGCTGCTTGAAGGCCGAACTTCTTCCTCAAATTCCTTCACCTCGGTACCAACGTAAAAGGCTACAGAATACAACAAAAACACTCGATCAGTCGGGAAAAAACTACGTACAGGGGAAATTCTGGGTCGCATTTCCGAAGAAGCATCAGAAATCCAGAAGATGAAATAAAGAATCAGAAGAAGATTGAAACCCACAAAGAGAAAGTGGAGTGATACTCCAGTAGAGTGAGATCGATGATTGACCATTAGAGACGTGAATTATTGCTCTACTTTAACAATCGAAGGGCACAGGAGATTTCTTTAAACAGATAAAAAATTCCACTTGTACGCCCAATTTCATCCTCCATGTCATATCAAATGCAACATTAAGAAAGAAAACAACAAATTTTTGTTCTTGCGTGTTTGAATTAACAATTTCCCTTTATTCTAAAAATTATGCGACCCTAAGTTTAGGACATAATAATTTAACTTTTGAATGCTGTAACAATTTCGTCCCTGCCATAAAAAATCATATCGATATAAAGTAATGATTTTTTAGCAAATCAACTTGCAGAATCAAGAGAAAAAAGAAAACAGAGTAGTTCACGCTTTATTTCATTACTGTTTTCTTTCTTAAAAAAAAAAAGATATATCAATGTTGTATTGATCTTTTAGTATGCAACTATTTGTTATCGTAGTTTAAAAACACATTTGGTAATTACAATCAACGTATTAAGAAATCTTATTACATTTTTAAAAAAATTTCACGATGGAGATTAATAATTATAGATTTTAAATATGGAAACTAAAATATTATTTAGTAAAATTAGACACGAAATTGTGATCTACTTGAAAGTACAAGGACTAGATTATTTCGTTAGAGACTAAACTTGTAGTTACATGAAAGTACAATATATGAATGAGGAGATAAAATATCCCTCACCCTGCCTCAAGAGCCTAAGGAGAGATTCCCGCTCTATTTAAGTTGGATTCTCACAGAAAAAAAGTAACATCCCTAATCAAGACTTTGATATTTTATTAAAACGACAAAAGTTACGAAAGGAAAGGAGTGATCCATAGCAAAGGTAGTTACAAAATTGCCCTCCAATGACCCCAAAAAAATTCACTAAGAGAATAATTACAAATACTTGATAAGCCTACACCAAGAAGCTATATATACCAAAAAGGAAATTGCCCATAAAAGAAAACAAATCTCCATCTTTTCCGACAAAAAGGCTTTTGCTTTCTTCTATCAAAGTGTACCAAAAGAAGCTCCTATTGAAATAAGAGAAAAAAGCTATTTTATTTATTGTATTTTTAACGTTTATCTATTTTTGTGATCCATTTATTTTCTTTTTATCTTATTTTTTTTCCGGCACAATCTTAACGACTTTCTTGAAATATTGTTACAACTTTATAATAAATGATTTTAATAAATGATTTTTCCAGTATATAGAATTTGTGTTAAGATTTTACAAATAATATCCAAAATAGTCATTTTTCAAAGGCTCAAATGGAACTCAAAGGAACCAAAATTGGATTTAAATCAATAGTAATAACAACTTGCTCTCAGGTTCAGGTAGGCAGCTGAAATTCATCCAGAGGATAAAGTACGTAAAAAGTAAAGGCCCTATACAAGTTTGTACCTTGTAGCCACTTAGACCAAATTTCTGCTAAGTTTCTCTCTTCCACCATCACACAGTCCCACCTAAAACCTTGATAAACTACAACTACAAGCATGAACTAAGCAACTTCCACTCTATGTTTCTAGGAAAAAACAGAAACTCTTAAAAAGCAGACTATAGAGAAAAATTTAGGGTTCGTTTAAAAAAAAAAAGAAATAGAAACAAAATATTGTGGTGCGCTGCTATTCACGAGACCCGAACTCTGATCGAAAGGGTTACACCTGCACTAGCAGAGCTGATAAATCTTCTCGTTTATTAATTCACAATAGCAAACGAAACTACTTTTTGTAGTTTCCAAAAATTAGCCTCTTTTATGGAAACGTCTCTCAAATTTTAGAAACGAGAAATGGGATGTGTTACCAAATATCCATGTTTTTCAAAAAAATGAAAAACGGGAACAAGAAATAGGAAACAGGAACGTTACTAAACGGGCCCTTAAGTTCAAAGAAAATTCTAGCTTAACAAGCATACTAGTTGTAGATTTGGTTTTGGATATGATCCATCACCTTGACGATTAGCTCTCTAGGGCAGCAACAGCACAAAGTAGTATTGAAGTTTATAATAGAAACTATGCAGCTAATTCAACACCACAGAACATGATCAGAACCCACCCAACAAGGACGAACTTATCCAGCTAGAAGTGCCCTTATTATGGCTTCAAAGCTTTTAGGTTCATGAACTAATAGATGGCCAGCATTAGGAACCTCATGACACTGAATCCATGGAAGTTTCTCAACCATGTAATGATTAAATAAGTTAGGAACGACGCGGTCTGCAGTACCCAGCCACATATGAACAGAGCCTCCTTTATTGTCAGGGAAAGGATTGCTCAAGTCGATGATGGGATCAAACTCCCATTTTCCAAAAGCAACAAGCATGTCTCGGTGAAGAGATTCATAGGTCCCTTGCTGATCTATTTTTTCCTGAATTTGGTGGCAGAAGAAATATCAGAAGAAGAAGAAATATTACTGCTTTTTTGCATATGAATTAAGTCAAACACATGTTAATTTGAAACATGACTCCATCAAAACATATATTGTTCAAAAAGGCTTATAAAGACCATCAAAACACATGTTGTTCAAAAAGGCTTATAAGGACTTAAACACTACTCCAAAAGTCATTCCAAACTCCCTCTAATACTTACAAGTTCAATGAAACTTCAAAATTGGTTCATCTATGCATCCATTGGGCATCTATAGTGGTATGCTATCCGATCATTGTTTTATTATAAAGAAGATAAAGTACCTGGCCATTATTTGGAAGTTCCAACATCCCCTCTAATATCTCTAAATCTGAATCAGTGAGCAAGCCTTCACGTACCAAATTTGGATACCATTTCTGTTTCGCCCACCAGTAGAACAACCAAGGAGTGAAATGTGCAATCCAATATGTACGTTGGTAAGATTTAGTAAGCTTCCTAAATGACTGTGTTGATAAAGCTGAAGGAGCGGAAGGCCACCAGTAATTCACAGTAGGAACCACTAGGGAAGCTCCTAGCAGTCTGAAAATGGAGCTCCATTAAGATTATTAATATTCACAGGGTTTATATCAAAATTAATTGGCAATGAGAGGAGCAGTCCATATTTACTATAAACCCTTGTTAAATCCCTTATTTTTTCGATGTGGGATCCTTAACATGCCCTTCAAGATCGTAGCTCTTTTGGCTCATCGATCTTGACCGAATCCCATTTTTGGACCGGATTCTCGTTTTAGCGTTTTAGGCCCTGATACCATATTATTCATAAGGTTCTATATCAAAACCAATTGGCAATGAGAGGAGTAGCTCGTGTCTATTATATCCTTGTTAGATCTCTTATTTTTTTAATGTGGGATCCTTGACAAGATTTAATAGGAGTCTTATAAAAACTTCCAGAAAAGTGAGAGAAAAAAGATTTGATCATAGTGAAATGAAGATAAAGTACCTGTGTGGAATGTATTTTAGACAGCTCCAAATGGAGTACGTTGCCATAGAACATCCAAGGACATAAAATTTTGTGCCAAGCTGCAATTTGTCTGCTAATTCTTGAATGTCAAATGCTTCAGTCTTCACTGAGCGTGCTGGATATGGGTCACTCTCTCCATAACCAGCTCTGTCATATAATACAAAGTATAGCTTAAGCTCCTCTATAAGTTCCTGAAAATAAAAAATGAACATGATTGAATACATTATCATTTATTTAAATAAGATAGAAGCAAAGGGACTTTTACTTTTATGGAACAGATTAGTCAAAGGGATTGTAGCATGAAAATAGAAAGAAGATATGATTAAGGCTAGGCTAGGTCCAAATCACAAGAGTCCAAGGTATATTTTTAATTGTAAGATAACAGAAGACAAGATTAAGTATGATAAGCTAATGAATTGATAACGTGTAGATCTTTGTCACCTTATAATAAAATTGATCCATTGTATTTTCACTTAGTTTGCTACCTTCAGTCAATTAAATGTTAAGCACGTTTAACAAGATACATTAATGATAGGATGAACAATTACAGGGTTTACGGTAAACACATCCTCTAACCTCAAACAGATTTCATTTATCAAAATTTTCTAGAATCGCATGGAAAGTTTGTCTGTTACTATACGTTTTGCACATATATGATTAGCATGAAAGAATATAAACGGCYGTTGAGGACAATGGTACCCCAAGTACCTTAAGTATCTCTATATAGTATGATATTGTCTGTTTTGGGCATAACCCTCACGTCTTTACTTTTGGTTTCATCCAAAAGATCTCATACCAACAGAGATAATTGTTCTCATCTATATATCATGGATCACTCTCTTCCCTAACCGATGTATAACTTTGTTTACACACTTTACAAACCCAACAACGGTACTGGTGGTGCCTTATTACGTAATATAACAAATCTTTAAGTTTCCAATCGATCTTCAGACATTTGATACAAATCTTCAGTTTCCACAACATTATCAGGAAAAATCCCTAGACTTTTCTGTGAATTTGAGATTTATTATTATTTGATGAGAAACCGCTATTTAAGTGAGAGAAATGAAAAAATATCTCTACGACGACGAGTTTTGAGGAATTCTAGATTTTAACTGCCTTCACGAAATTGCAGAGAATTCCAAACACTACTCAGGTAAAGACATTCGTGACTGAGAGAAGAATAATAGTCTCATACCTGAGAGGCAGGTAAGTACATATCTTTGCAGTTATTGTAGCCATGAGAAATAATGATCTTGTATTGAGCCTCTTCCTTAGGAACTCCAACTTCTCTGTAGGCCAAATGCCTCCCATCACTAAGCTTTACTCTAGGGGAAGTCACTGGAGGGCCATTTGCTGAACCACATACCTTTGGAGATGGAGGTTTCAGTGCTTTATAAACCCATCCGAGAAGTCCCACTACAAATGCTGCTCCTATTGGTTTAATCATTGCCTGCAAAAGCTAAAAAAAGTTTGTTATAAGCCATGTCAGAAAAAAAGTTTCATACTGACATAAGTGATAAATTATCTACCACAGAAATGTTCCAAGACTAAGCAATAATAGAAAACCACCTCATTCTTTTTCTTCTATACTTCATAGAACTACTTAGCTTTCTTTATAATTTATAAGATACAACCCTCATGGCATAGTATAATTGGCTTAACTTGGATGGCTATAGACTGAAAGTTTAAGTAAAAATCCAACCATCAAAATGGTTTTCTAGATCAGAGAGTCCAGAATACAAGATAATATAGGCGGGTTTTGAGACTGAATAATGCCTCCAAATGACCATAGTTGAAATCTACTTTATTTGAGAGAGAAATCTTCCTAAAAATGCTCAGTAAGTCTAACGCATAGATTAATCATTGCAATACACACAAAGCGACAGTAATAAGAATCTTGTATCAAGTTATTACTCAAATAAATTACAAGTTTGGGCATTGAACCTTAGAGTCATGTCTAACAAGATTGTAAAAAAACATCTAATTTATTTATAAACTTTTAAAAGTGTCTAATAAGTCCCGCACTTGAACTTTAAAACATGTCCCATAAGTCAATGATCAATTAATAGTAAAAGTTTAGGTTCTTATTAGCAGAAGTTTCGAGACTTATTACACTACTTTTTAAGTTCAGGGATCTATTAGATACGACTCTAAAAGTTCAGAACCCAACTCATAATTAACTTATCACTGATTCTTGTATCGAACCTACTTCTCAATCTCTGCTATACATATCCATCCAATCACGCAACCGAAAAAGCACAAACTTAAGAAACATGGAAGATAATTTTATCAAAGAACCATAACAGTGTTTTTGGGCATACCACACAACCAAACTTCACAGCAAGAAAGGGGGAAAATGAAGACAATATTCAAACAAGAACGAATTCCTTAAATACCAAGCTTTTCAATCACTACCTGAACTTCCTCCTCAAGTTTAGCAGTTACCTTCAGTTCCAGAGCAACGTAAAATACTACAGAGCACAACAAAAACACTTCATCAATTGGGAAAACCGAGTACAGGGGCAAAACCCATAGATTTAAAATGAATATCAAACCCATAAATCTAAATCCATTTGTCAACAACTCCAAATAAGCACGTATTTTGGCATCAGAAACCATGATCAAGGGCAGGATTGATTCACAACATTAAACAAAAAGGATGAAGAAGAACAAGAACAAGAATGGAAACTCACCAAGATCAGCAATGTTCAGGTCTGCGCATATCGGAAAAAAACAGTACAACTGAAAGAAAGCGACAAATAAATTTTATTTTTATAGACAAATTAATAATATCCACCGTGGACGGCGAAATTTATGGAAAATTGTAATTTTTGTACCCCATTTTTTCATTTTAGAAGTTTGGATGATTGTCTTAAAAAGTAATTAATTATTCTACGTAAAGTAGACTTCGAAATTATTATTTTACTCCTTTTTTTCTTCGTGTATCAAAGAAAATTTGGAAAACATATTAGTTGGAGGATTCCAACGAACTTCAATGTCAAGCTATGGTGACGATGGACGAAGACATTGTCAAGTTGAGAATCCGTTTTATGAGAGAGACATCTGCTTCTCCTCGGACTTTCTAGTTTTGCAATTCTTTTTCACCACTGGCTATTACTCTACCGAAATAAAAAAGTAAGAAGAAAATAGGAAAAAATTTTGGAATCATTGCCAGAATGATTAGGAAAAAGAAAACATAAAGAAAAAACAAATCGGCCATCTTTTTTTTTTCTTTTAGACAAATCTATGGGCAATGACTTGAATTTCATTCTTGAGTTCGAGCCGGGATAGCATTCCAATCTGCCACCATACATACTGTTTAGTAAGTTGCATATCAGTTAACATGTCGAAATTAGAAAAATATCCATTGGTCACTATTTTGTTTTAATTCATATATTTTTAAATTCATATTTTCTTAAGTCTTCCTCACCTCTCTCTAGAATGACAATAAAGCGGGGTGGGGCTGCAGCGCCTCCGTCCCCAAATGAGTGCGGATTTTGTCATTTGAAAAATTATTAGAAAAGATAAGTGAAATGAGTTAGAAAACTATACTTGGTCTAAGCTAGATAGAAACAATATTAGTTAATTTTTCTATTTTACTTGTCAATTACCATGGAGCTATGTGCTAGCTTTACTGAAAAATCATATATTTTTTAGATTTTTTTTCTTTTTTTTTTTTTTAACTTCTCAAGTTTGGATTTGAGTAAAATGAAAGATTGACTTTTCACAAGTCCTACAAAATTAGCAATAACACAAAATTAATTAGTAATAAGCAACAATATTAATTAATTTAGAATAACTAAAAGCCAACAGTTCAAAGGAAAAATTTAGCATGGTCATGTGAATAAAATTAGTCCACGTACCTTAAGTCTTTTCTTTCTTTTTTTCTTTTCAAATTTGCATAAATTAATCCGTTGCATTCTATTTCGACCTTAGATGTAAAATCATATTATTGAACCTTTAATATTGCATTTATTTTATATTTATTTTTTCAAAAAGGAACTACATAACTGATCTCTTCATTGAAGTGGAGTTGATCATCTCTTCAGTAGACGGACCTGGTAGACGGACCTGATGATAGAGAAATTTCAAATGTATTATATTTGAAATAAATCTCAAATTAGCATTATTGTCAAGATAAATTTAAAATATTAACAATATGAAAATAATGTCCGTCATTTTTTGTTTCTTGTTATTTAAAATTAAAATAATGAAGTTTTATATGTAAATTAATGTTTTTTTAATTAATTATTCAAAAATTTCATGTTATATTTATTTTTTAATATTTATTTACATTAAAAAAAGACTAGCGACAACGAATAATAATAAACTTGGGTCCATTTAACTAAAACATTCTTGTTTCTTATTTATTCAAATATAAGATTTATCAATTAAACGCAAATTTACAGAATTTATGTTGATATTTGTTTTAGATTTTATTACACTACCACAAATTCGAACTTCAATGACATTTAAAAACTATCATTAACATAATTCGTGGCAGTTATATAACTGTCATGGGTTTAGAGGAGAACGTGATAGTTATTGAAGAACTATCATCAACATAATTACAACGATAGTTATAAGTTGTCACAAATCGACCATCTACCACATTTTTAAAATGTCATAAATTACTCATTTAATGATCGTTATAACGGTCACTAACACAATAAAAAAATTTATTCTTCTATCAACAAAAACTTAATGACGATAGTTTATAATTATCATAAGTTTTAAAGACAGTCTATAATTGTTACGGAATATTTTTTAACGGCAATTTATAAGCATTAAAAAAAACATAATAATGACTATCTATAATTGTCGAGAAAATTTTTATAATAATAGTTTTAACAATCAATATTGACAGGTTTAACTGTCGTAAAAATCTTTATATTGACAATTTTTAATTGTCATGAATACTTAGTGACAACTTTTATTTGTCACAAAAAGGTTTTCAATGACATTGTTTTAGTGTCACAGAATATATTTGGTTGACAACTACAATTATTCACGTCCTTTTATAACTGTCATGACTATTGAAATAGTGATACTTTTAAAATGTCACATATTGATACTATTTCAATCGTGGAATAAATCTGTCACGAAATGTTTTTTAGATATATATATATATTTTTACAATTGTATCTAGTACCTGTCAATTATACCTGTTACACATACCGGAGCATGTATATAAACATATGCAAACCAAGAAGTCACATTTACATAAACTTCATATACATAAACCAACTATTCACATATACATAAATTCACATAAACCAACTATTGACATGCACATAAACCGCTAACCTAACCAAAATGACCCATAAATCACATTGTTATGATCAAGCTTTTCCATGGTGGTTCTTGCAAGGCCTAAGCAAGAATACAACATAAAATATTTATCAACAATATAAATTAATTGGGAATGGTCAAATTACAATATGTGACAGTTTTTTCTCCTAAACTTTTTTACGGTTCATAAGTGCTATAGAAGCTTAGTTTTGTAGTAGTGTGACAAAGCTTTATAACTTCTATGTAATGAATATTCAAGGCTTGGAAAGAAAACTTTAGAGACACCCTTGGGAGAAAAACATGAGATAACTCGAAAACAGATAGAAAATGAGCATCAAGGAAATTAGAGAAGAGATTTTCAAGGCTCGAAATTGTGGAGATTGACTCAAAGACGATCAATCGATGCAAGAACATTACTTTTTCTCTCATTTCACTTGATTTTTCTTGTTTTATTATGAAACTTTCTTTGGACTTTGTTGTTTTACATTGAATATGAGTATCTAATCTTCTTAGATTGATGTAGGCATTGAAATTTATGGATTGATGATTTAATTCTCTTGATTGGATGTTCATAAATGTTTATTTATGTTTCTCTATTCTTAATACCTTTAATCTGATTGATTGATATTAGACTTAAAATCTTACATTGTAGAGAGGTGGTTTAGAGTTAAGATTGAAAGGCATATAACTAGGAGTTTAGATTTGAGAGTTAGAGGTCCTCTCAAGGTGGCAAAAGGACTTATTCATTAAAGCATTTGCTTGTTATTAAAACTAGATAGAGATGTTAGTTTCTTAATTAGTAAAGAGAATTAGCTACATTTCGGGAGAGGCAGTTGAGATTTGAAAGTTCTTGGCGCGTAGAATTAATAATTCAGAGTAGTAATCAGTTTGATAACCATTTTGTTTTCAATTTTTGGTTTTTGGTTTTTAGTTTTTTACAAACAGTATTTTTTGGTAACCAATTCAATTTTCTATTTTTGATTTTTCAAAATCATTTTGAAATCCTTGGTAAATAAAAAAAAAGAGTAAGTTTTCAAAAACTGATTTCTGTTTTTCAAAATCTAATTTTTTCTTCTAATACTCAATGTTTTTCAAACTGATTTCTTTCCTCACTCTAATTTTTTTTTCTAGTTTTCTGTCTACAAAATTTATTTTTCTCCTCCTAAAATTTCATATTTTGAATATTTATTATTATTTATCTATCTCTAAATTTTTCATCTTTATGTATTTTTATTTTTTATTTTTTTCTAAACTGCATTTCTCTCTCTAAAAATTTAATATTTTTTTCGAAATTTTTCTCTCTAATTTCATCTTTTATAATTTCTCTCTCTTCCTAATTTATTTTTTCCTCTGAAAATTATATCTTATTTTCTGGTTCAATTTTCTTTCACGCTAACTTTTATTTATTTTTTCTAAAAATTATATTTTGAATCTTGTTTTTATCTCTAAATTTTTTTCACTATAATTTTTCTCTTGCTTTATAATTTATTCTTTTTTTTTTTCTTTTTTGTCTTTAACTGTTCTTTCACTAATTTTTTTTCTAAATCTTTTTATTTATCTCTCTAAAATTTATCTTCCAAAAATTTATTTACATCTCTCTAAACTTGTATTTTCATATCTTTACATTAGGGATGACAAAAATTTCCACATGGGTGCAAAAAATAGGAAATGCATGTCCCGACCCCGACCCCATCCTCGATTCCATTTTTTAAATAATTAATATATATTTATTACACTTTTTATTTTCATAACTCTAAAAACAATTGTAAAACCGATAATTTTTCTTGAGAACATCTCTCAAACTGAAGAATGAGGTGGAGACGGGGATTAAAAATTTTTACGAGCACGAGAATGAGGGGAGCATCTCACTCGCACTCACATCATTTTCATCTCTACTCTACATATAATTTTCTATCTCTAATATGTATTTTCAATTTTCTAACTTTTTAAAAATAGAAAACAAAAAATAGTTACCAAAAAAGGTTTGGTTTTCTGTTTTTTAAAAACAAAAAACAAAAAATGGTTTATCAAACGTTTTAGTTTTTTAAAAATAGAAAACCAAAAACCAAAAACTAAAAACAAGAAAAAAACAAAAACAGAAAACAGAAATAGTTATCGGGTCTTAAGTAATTGGTTATAGATTCAATAGATGAAATCAATTCACTAGGATGTTTCTTCCCCTTGATTTTCTTTTTATTTTAGTGAACGTTTATTTGCTTTGTTCTATTTTCCCATTCAATTTTGGTTATCTAAATAAAATTGAGGGATTATATTTGTAGTATTTGTCGTACTTGGTTGAGCTAGAAATCTAATTCGGATGATGTTGATATTCACTTACCATCTATATTAAAACTTGACTGTATACTTGTGGTAAGCAATT